GCGGGATCGCCCAGAAAGATGTTAATCTTCTAAGAAACTGTCCGGGTGAGTTTTCTCACTATACTATGTATTACAATACATGTCCATGTATGTTAGGATAGATAACTAATAGAGTAAAACTGATACAATAGTCTTTATGTGCTTAAGTGTAAGCTGATAGAGTAGAAAGTATAATTGTGCCTGTACTAGTAGAATCTAAAGTGCAGTCTCTATATGCGTAACTGTTGTAATTAAATACTTAGTTAGGGGATGAATGTGGAACGGTTAAAGAGGCCGAAAGCCTATTAGCACGCGTGTTAATGAAATGGCGTGTAAACGTACATACACATAGGCCCGTGTCAACAAAATGGCACATAGGTTGTAAGTACACGCATTATTGGCATATCATGAGGCATTATATGTATGCATGTATATGTACTGTGGTATATGGTATTTTGGGAACTCTCTAAGCCTCGTTCTTACCTAGTTGAATATAAATGTTTTTCAGGTACTCATGAAGGGCAATGTTCGAATATATACATGCACATTTACAACATGTTTTCGCATAATGTAATTATGCTATAATATATATTTTAATAAGTAGAGGGGAGAGATAAAAAATTTGATTTCTGCTTATGAGAGGGTTAGGATCGGTTTCCAAGGGGTTAGACCCCTTTATATAACTGCCATATAATCTCTGAAACTGTAGATTTGAATTTAGAATAATAATATTTTAATTCAATACATATCTAATTTTATTATTGGAGTACGAGGCTTCCAGAACCCTTCTTTAGGAGCCCCAAAACCGTCCACCCTAGGAAGGTTCTGGATTCTCTCATTTGCTTAACTTTTGAAAAATTGCAATCTAGTCCATGTACCTCTAATTAGTTCTAATTAACCCAAAATTAATTCCAAATTAATTTTAATTAATTCTTAATTAATTATTACTATTTCCAATTAATATACAAGTCATATAATATATTAATAAATCATTTATCTCTCTCCTATAATCAATCCAAGCTATTTCCTGGTTATGAGGGCAACCCAAAAAAGACTTTACTTTTATTCTTCAAGATTATACCAATTTAGTTAAGACCTTAGACAATTATTCCAATAGTTAGTTCCAAAAGGAAACTTCAACATGCCATTCAACTCCTCTATAGACATTTCAAAATGTTTATACCAAAAATCAGAGTGAAATGATCATACATGTCAGCGATTTGACTAACCCTAGCCAACTCTTAACATAATGAAATTCCATTTTACTTCAATATGAATATTTGATAACTGTTCTTAAAAATTTGGAATGCAGTGGTTGGCAAAACCTTAGGAAGAGCTTTATCTAAGGCATGATCTTTCTATTCGTCTATGAGAACCTTTCATAAACTATGAATTTTAACTAGATTGATCATCCTTCCAACTAATCCTTTGCGTTTTTGTTGCAGTAGATTCAAATGGTTTATCTTATAGATACCATTCAATATTAATTCCATTCTAGTTCGTTTTATTAATCCTTTAAATAATTTCTAACCATAATTAACTTTTTACTAAGGCTAGGATCCATATTTCGCTTTGTGATGTGTAAAGGGATGTCGTAAACACAATACAAATTTATTTAGGTAGGCAAAGCTATTTTCCAATTTTAATGTCCATGAAACTGCTAGATCTTTTGAGATTCATTGATCTTATCAATGACATGTTAATCTCATATTATGCTCTTAACTTTGTGTCTGGGATATCGAGGATCGCAAACAAGATTGTGAATAACTATGCAAACCCGCATGTCACACTATCTCTATTTATAACCCCACATTGATGTGTCGGTAAAACACACACACTCCATCAACAAACCATAAAAACGAGTTGCTTCATCACTTTGCCTCTTATAGTTTCAAATTAATGTGCGCGCCGGTTAACCACACACGATCCATAAACACGGGTTCACATTTTTGCTAATAGCTAAACGGGAATTTCTTTGGATACTTTTAAGTAAATACTTATAAATTAACATCAACCTATTAAACCCTTTCGGCTAACTCCATTGGTCCACACAAATAGCGGTGGGTGAAAAGGACACTCATTCAATGATCATTTTAAATGTCGTTTTCTTATACCATCTTTGAGTGTTTAAAATGGATGGGGCCTACTCTTGCTCTAACTATCGATGTATTTAATCATGTCATTACACATGTAATTTAGTAGTACATACTATATAAACTTTAATAAAGTATAGGGTGTACTTTAAACACTTAAAATTTTCAATTCTTTAATTCTAATTAACCATATAAGAACACATGACAATATTAAACCACTATTTTAATTTCTAATCACTAATCATGTGAGAGTACAGGTTAATAATTAATATTAAAAAATGAAATATATATTCAAGAATTTTGAAATATATATATATATATATATATATATATATATATAATTTGGATTAATTAATTAGTTATAATTATCCATATTAAAGCAATTAACCAGTTAATTATTACATCATGATAATGATTAATTTAATTCAAATATTTATAACATTTCGAATTCAATATATATTACCAAAATTAATTTAAACTATTAAATTAATCAATCCCTTTTAAGAGTGGCCTGACTGTTTCCCGAACTTCTTCTTTCATTTTAGATTAATAAGGGGTAGTTGGGGAGGAAATCTCATTGACTATTTAAATTTTCAAGTTTGCTAAATAAGGAAATGATTTCAAATAAACTAACCAACATTATCCAAGATAATCTTGGAGACTCTAGGATTTTCAAAAAAACCCTAGGGATTTTCGAAAAATCTTAAGCCTTATAATTGTTTTAGATATTGGCTATTTCTTAAATATTAGATAATGCATTAGGTTAAATCAAATCCTTTTTTGAGATAATTACCAAAAATATTTTAAACCAATTTTAAATCCATAACACTCCAAAATTTCGATCCTAACCTAATCATACCCTATTTTAAATTTTTTCCAAGCAAACACAATATAAACTCAATCTTTATGTAGTGCAAATATAAATAAGCAAGGCTTTCATATCACTGATATGTTTTCTATATACTTACTAGATTTATTACATGGCAGCGGAAACATAAAATATTAATCTAAGGCAAACAAATTCTAAAATATATGAGGATCTTAAATTAAATGATATTAACAAATAAAAGAGATATAAAAGTTTACTAACCCTTTAGTAAAACTAATTTGCTTGTAGACCTTTGACATATATCAAATTCAACAAGCCAAAGAAGAGTAACCATAGAAGGTTATCTCTAATTGTTTTTACACCCAACAATTCCAAACTATTTGATGTTAGAAAATTATCATTGGAACAATAGATATTGATGAAGGAGTTAAAGAGAGAAGAGAAACTCTAAGAACAACATATTGGGATGAAATTATGAGTGCATAGGAGGGGGTAGTTATAGCTTCCAATTGCTTGCACAGAAAGCATATTTGAATAGTTAAACAATCAGATTAAATCAAATTCAAATCTTTGCCTTATTTATAGCCATGGACGAAATTTCAAGGCTTATCCCTTAGAAATTTCGTTCATCCCTCTACGGGATCCAAAATATTTCAATTATTCAACTATTAAACAATTAACATTCTGTCCATATACCTTTTAAATTATTAAACTATTTCAATTATAAACTATTTGTATCTCTCTTTTATAACATTCAAATACTATTTGCTTCATTGATGGTAACCCATAAAGGACTCTGATATTAATAGATAGTCTTATCAGGTTAGTTATGACATTAGACACTATTCCAATATTTATATGATTAAGCATGAAATGAGTAAATAAATGAATATTTGATGTTATTTTTTGTTGTGTTGTTGTATTTTTTTTTATCATTTTTTAAATATGTCGTGTTCATATTAGCAAAAAAAAAAAACACGACGTCGTGTCTTTTCTTGTTCGGATTATGAAAAAAAATCGTGTCGTGTCGTGTTGGACAAAAATATGAAACGATTGTTCAATTTTCCATCCATAACCTTATCCCAACACTCTATATGGATACATGATTGATAAAAAAATTTCTTACCTGATGATTAGTGCTTCACTTAAGAAGATGTGGAAGAATGAAAGGTTGGAAAATATGTTTATGAGGTTTTCTTTTTCTAAATAATGATAGTTTTACCTAATTATTTTTTTGATATAATATACTTGGAATTATTGGATTATAAATTTTAGGATTTAAAATATTAATTATAGTAATAGAAGGGATTTAATAAATAAAAAGAAATTGTTAAATATCTAAAAATATTAATAATTTTTTTCTAATACTTAAGAAAGGAATCAAATAAATACAAGTGATTTTATAAATGTTAAAATATTAATAAAGTGAATTAATGAATTAATAAGGGTTGAAAATATCATATCAAATTGAAAAGAAAATAAATAGGGAACGTTTAGAATGTCCAAGGGCTGATTTGCTATCTCTTGAAATACCGCAAATGTGAATGGTCCGGGTTTTGGGTACGCATCGCCTACAATCCAAACTTCAGGGACCATTTTGCAAAGTGAAAATAAATAATTTCCTACATTTTTTCATATTCATCATCTATCCATATTAAATGGTGACATAATGACACATAAGTGCAAACCCAATATGAGCAATGATTCCTAAAATATTAAGAGACATAACGAACACTTGCATGATATTACATAATATGATTTTAGAAGATGATCTTACATACTATAGCTACAGCGAATGAGAAGATGAAGATGGTCAAGATTCCGAAGAAATTTATTCAAAAGTGTACACATCTAATATTTAGGCAATACATAACAAAGAAGTGCATTACAACCTTCACTTTGAATTGGTAGAATATATATACCGAAATCGTTCCATGTAGTCTTATGCAAATGATTACCAATTGAAGATTGAAGTTAAATGAATACAAGAGAATGTTGATAAGGTGTGGGAAAGAAGCAAGTGAAGAGGAAGACACACTAGCCAAACATACCGGACAAACAAGAACCTTTTCATGATATAAATACATATATAACCATACAAAGAAATATCTCTATAGCACTACTGAAGAAAGAAAAGGAAGTTACAACTTAGTGCAATGAATACAAACACTAAATTTTCTACCAACTCTTATTTTACAATCATCAATTTTAATATCAAACTTACAAATATTCTTATATGCTTTGTGCATTTATACCTTTAAATCTGTTTGTGTTCCTGTACAAATATTGATCATACAATCACTTAACACTTCCAAAATCTAGTTTTACATTTTTGTCTTTTGATCATCTTAATTTTTGCGGTGGCCAGATGACGCCATTAGAACTCCAACAGCCACAATAAACATGGACAACATGCCTACAAGAAGCACATATGTTCTCCTTGACGATTTTCTGTATTCACCAAAAAACAACACACCCCAAAAGGTACTCACAAGTGGAAGTGCCTGAAATCATTTCACAACAACCTCATAAGGTAAACATCTTCATCCAAATGCATTAACTACTTGTACAATAAAGTACAACAAGAACTAACCTGAACTGCATCAGCTGCAGCATAACCAGCAGCTTGGCCTCCCATAAACTGGAGACCATTCCCAAAACCACACAGAAAGCCAGCCAGAAACGCCCAACCACGCCCTTCCCAGTCATTCAAATAGGCTTTGATTGAAGATTTAGGCAAGTTGAATGCCGGGTGATAAAGGAATGTAATGTTTAAAATTATGGCAATCACAAAACAAGAGCAAGAAAAGTAGAAAAAAGCTGTGTAGACACTTAAGTGAGGAACACCATCATCCAATGTATTCCATTGGTCATTGGTTGCAAGGTTAAATGCTGGTGAGAAGAGAGAAAAACAAATTCCAGCAAACAAACACATGGCTAAACCAATCAAAGTGCTCCTTCCAAATACCTGAAATAATCCAAACAAAATGTAGAAATTTAGCATTTTTAATGATGGAAACAAAAGAGTAAAGTAATAGATGTATCATGTATTGTATCTATCATATAACCTTGATTGATCTTCGGTTCTCGAGTTCAATAAGAAAACTAGCAGTTCCTGCTTTTGCTTTCTCCGGTTTACTGCTTCCATACTCGAGATCATTTTCTAATAATTGAAAAAGAAAGATTAAACGAATAATCCAAGTTAATAAATTTAGTTGAAAGTTTTAAGGGTTCTTACTTGATATCGTTTTTGACCCGTTACTAAATGATCTGTAAAGTATCATGTAATTATGTCATTAGAATTCCAAATTTATGAGTCAATACCTTGATAAAAGATATGTATTCAACTAAATAAGATATATACATACCTGTTTTCACCAACTTGAGAACCTTGTAATTTGTTAAGCTTTTCTTTATTGTCTTTAGCATTGGATGCATGCACTGCTGAACCTAAACAGACAGCGATCAAGAAACACGCGACCCCAGGAAAAAGTATCTCAGCTCTATTGATCTTGTCGTCTAAAAAGTAGTTCAAAGTTGTACCTATTGCCCCATGATCCAAAAGATGTTTCAAATTAAATTAGTTATATGTATTGATGTTTATGTAAAAATGATGACGATGATACCTATAACAACTGTAATACTTGAGGTGATGACCTCGGTTACTGATAAACCAACAAATGCCCACGCGTATTGTGTTGAAAGATTTCCAAGGCTTAAAACCACGCCACCCACCATCGCAAACAAAACACTTGGCCAATTATTCTGAGAAGAAAGTTGGATTGCAGTTCATGCGTATGTAATATGAATTTTATCAAAATAATGTATTTTGTGGAATGGTTTACGTGCATGAGTATACTATACCTGAGAAAGCTGGATTAGGAAATTGGGTTTACCATCATTGGTATGGCCAAATTCCCCAAATGTGAAAGCGATTATGACAGCAGCCAAGAGATTGGTGATTGTGTAATCAAGATAAGTGTGTTGAGGAAGGCGACCACGTCTTTCTAACAGTGTTAGAATGGCGGGCCATGTTCCTAAGAAGAGGAGCGCGAGCAGCATGCATGCTATCGCTCCTCCTCTGCTTTCAACTACATACATCTTTAAATCTGAACCGAATCAATTTTCTGTAAAAATGGTCAAGAATCGAAACCCGAGAAAACCCTATAACCAAAGTAACAAATATATTAAAAGTTGTTAACATTATCAAGAATCTTGAAATGAATCTAAGAGTTTAGGATTATTGAAAAGAATCTGCATGTGACAAGGTAAAGTTAGACTTTTTCAACGAGTCAAATGCAACAAAAAGGTCAAAGTTGATGACTGAAATGCAAGAGTGGGACCTTATCTTGAAAAATGCACCAACTACCCATTAAAATTTAAGAGTGTTGAATGACTGAAGAGTTTAAGATTGGTGAGATGAACTGCAAGTCTTTCAGAAAGTTGACTTTTTTAAGCAGATCAAATGCAATAATAGAAACTTCGATCATGTCAAGAAATACACCAATAACCCATCAAAATTATGAAACTTAAAGATTAAAATGATGATATGAGTGAAAAGAAACACATGTTGAATTTATAAATAAAATTCTATGGACAAAAATGGATGTTGAGCATAATGCATGTATAAACAAACCGTAGCATTCGAAGTTAATTTAGAACTTGATTTAAAAAACAAAAAAAAAATGAATATAAATAGGATGAATCTTCAAAGAATATATATACAGCTACCTAAGAATCATAAAAACCCCAAAAACTATACAAAAAATTGATATAATATTCCCCCAAACAGCTTATTCTCACAATAGAATCAAATAAAATATATAATTTAATTAAATCTCGATAATTCTAAAGAAAAGATACTAACATGATCACATAGCTTTGATCACAAACAAGATGAATCTCCCAAAGAATAAGATTCAAGAACAAAGTTTGCATCTTTGACCATAAAGTCAAACCCACCTTGGCAGAGGAACTCAGTTTTTAAAAAAAAAATCGTCATAGCCCATAAGCAAGATGATCGAATATATAATCTCCAAAAGAATCTAAAGGTACCTAACAATCACCACAACCCAACAAATATACAAAATAAAAGGATCTAATATCAACCAATCATGGACCAAAAAAGTAATTTTGCAAAATTATCATATAACATATATATATAGCAAGGTGTCATTTTCATGTATTGGGACCTCCTGAACATGCAAATTTGGATGATACCTATATAAAGAGTATGTAGAGGTGATGTGAGCCTGTAAAGATGAACCACACCATTAACAGGGTTCTGTTTGTTTGTGCCGTTATTCAACTTTGGCTCTACATGCAGTGAAGACGAGTTTATGTAATAAGAACTAAAATAAGATGCGTTGGGACTAGGGAGAGTTAAAAGGGATGATGCATAAATATCTTTATTTTATAAAGCTTAAATTAAAATAAATATCAATAGTATTTAATATTAGTATCATATTACTTATATTGATGATATAATTTTAACAAACAATTTATATAGTATATTAATTCCCATGACACTTAGGAATAGTGTTTTTTTGATGATTTACAACTTTGCCACAAAAGTTTTAAGAATTTACCACTTTTGGTCCCTTGCAATTTATATATATTCATAATTTAGCCACAAAAGTTTAAAAATTTTGCCATTTTTGGTCCCTTGTATTTTATTTTTGCCACTTTTGGTCCCTAGCATTTTATATGTATATTAATTCCCATGACACTTAGGAATAGTGTCTTTTTGATGATTCACAACTTTGCCACAAAAGTTTTAAGAATTTACCACTTTTGGTCCCTTGCATTTTATATATATATTTATAATCTAGCCACAAAAGTTTAAAAAATTTGCCACTTTTGGTCCCTTGTATTTTATTTTTGCCACTTTTGGTCCCTAGCATTTTATATATATTAAAGATTAGTCGCAAAGGTTTCGAGAGTTTGTCACTTGGTCCCTTGCATTTACCAAATGTGACCCCTCAAGTTTTTGTCATATTACTTTGTGGAGTTGGTGCTTTTGGTCCCCCCATCTTTGATATTCTCAGAAGAAAAAAAATAAATAAATAAACACCGAAATATATTAATAGCAATGGTCATTAGAAATAGTGCACTTTGGATGTTTCAAGATTTTACCACAATACTTTGTATAGTTTGACAATTCTGGTCCCTAGGCTTTTGTAATTAGAGATTGACCACATGTCTTTTAATATTTGTCACTTTAAGTCACTTTACCATTTTTTCCTTCCTTTTGTCCCTTTTTTTGTCTTACTACTTATTTTTCATTACAGATTGGTCACACATGTTTTAATATTTCTCACTGTCAGTCCCTTTGACCATTTTGACATTCCTTTTATCTCTTTTTCCGTCTACCGATTTGTACTTCTGTTTTGGGCTTCATTTTTTCATTGTTTTCTCATCGTTATCCTTTGTGAATAAAATAAGATGCATTTGAGTAATATCGGATTCAATAAGCATGCAAGAACAGCCACAAGGGTGACCCGTGGTTCACCACGGGCTCACCCACTAGTTGATATAATTTTAACAAACAATTGATATAATTAATACATATATTTTGAACTAAATATCCTGTTACTTTAGGTTGCTATGCTTATCAAACAAAATAGTTACTTATAAGCTAGTAGATGCGGATGGATTTTTAATAGATTTTGGGGCACAAAAAATATATAATTTTTTTTCGAGTCGGGTAAAAACGCATTCAAAATAAGAGTAACAAAGTTACATTACAAAAACGTGTTCAAATACATATTATAAGTTTATATTGTCCTCTACGAGTTGCCATATCTTGGAAACGATCAATTACAACTTCACTTGTAACCTTCGCCAATTCTTCTTTCTCAATTGCACAAATCAAAGAAGCATTCAAAAAATCATCACCGATCCGGTTTCTCAAATTTGACTTCACAAGTTTCATAGCCAAAAAACATATCTCCACTGTTGCGAAACTAATGCCAACTTTACTAGTCGATACACCAAGTAATATGAAATGTGTTTTCATGTTTCCACCAAGACTCTAGAAAGATCGGCGATTCCATTCCCATTAGAGAAACGAACATCTTCTTTTACAACATCATAATAAAAATCAAGTTGTTGTGCAAGATTCCTCCTATCCACCTCTGTAAAATCCTTTGAATATTACATACTCAATTTCACTAACTTTGATGCGTCAAATTCTGAAAATGAGTAACAAGGACTCAAAGCCGCCATATTTGTAAGCAATTTGGTGCTTATCTCCCTAAAACGATCAAGAAACTCTTGAAGTTGCATATCAAGAACTTTGGTAAAGATATCAACTTTATAATGATGTTGATTGTTGATGTCGGTATTTTCTCTTCGGTTCCTTGCATAATTTTCCGACGTGTCCACTTTCTCAATTTCATACTTTTCTCAAAAAACATATACTTCTCTCTTTTTATAACCTTCGTGAATCATATCTTTTCGTTGGCAAGAAGCACAAACCACATTCACAACAAGGGAAAGCATGTCAAAAAAGTTTCCAACACCAGTGTGATTTCTTGCAACCGCCACAACATCCAACTGAAGTTGGTGAGCAAACAATGCACATAAAAAGCCAAAACATTATTTTTTAAAATTAAAGCTTTCAAACCATTAAATTCACCTTTCATATTGCTTGTCCCATCATAACCTTGTCCTCTTACTTTTTCCATACTCAATCCATGTTGATCAAATAACGAGTCTATGGAATATTTAAGATATTTTGAAGATGTGTCCGTTACATGAACAACACCTACAAATTTCTCCTTACCAAGACCAAGTTTATCAACATATCGCAAAACCATGGCCATTTGTTCTTTCTTTGATACATCACTCGACTCGTTAACTAATAATGCGAACACATCATCACCAATTTCTTGGAAGATAGATTTAAGTATTTCTTTTGAAAAGCAATGTGCAATATCTTTTTGAATCTTTGGTGAAACCACTTGATTATTCTTTGGAGCATATATGAAATTCATAATGAAGGATTTGAACATCTACCGAAGTACAGATCCACTATGTGATTGATGGCGTGAGCTATATATCTTGCATAAAAGAAATGTATAGCTCATGCCATCAATCAGAGAGTGGATCTGAATTTCTGTTGATGTTCAGATCCTTCATTGTTAATTTGATATATTGGGAATTGTTTTTCTTGCACAAAAGATCTATTGCCCATGCCATCTTCAACACATTTCAAGATTGAGGAATAGCAAGAACAAATGGAGAACGTATTGCTTGTTATTCAAAGTTTGGATAAGAAAGACTATTGTTTTATGAATATTAGATAGACCGTTGGGTTTAGTGTTTATTTCTTTGAGTTTTAGCTAGATTTAATTTAATTAGCAGTTATCCGCTCCACACTTGGCTACCCAGCGTTTACCGTAGGCACGATAACTGGTACACCAGAGGTGCGTCCTTCTCGGTCCTCTCGTACTTGGGAAAGGTCCTCTCAATGCTTTAACGCCCACACTGGATATGGACTGAACTGTCTCACGCCGTTCTGAACCCAACTCATGTACCGCTTTAATGGGCGAACAACCCAACCCTTGGAACATACTATAGCCCAGGTGGCGAAGAGCTGACATCGAGGTGCCAAACCTTCTCGTCGATGTGAGCTCCTGAGGAAGATCAGGAGGAATGCTTTGTTTACCTTTGAATTATTTGAACTTTTATCATTGATTTTTGTATTTCTAATCAAACATAATCACTATTTGTTTATTAATTTTTAGATTTATATTTGTTGAATTTTGGTAAATTGTTAAGGATTTTAGATCCTTTTCATTTGCTATGGAATTTGATGAAATTAAAAAAGGAGGAAATTGGTGGTTTGAGGATAAGTTGATTCCGTGGAAGGTTTTTGAAGAAGATTATGTGAAGCTGGTCCTTTGATTTGATTTAAAAAACAAGATGCAATGATTTTATTAAAGCCTAACAAAAACAACTTTTGGAATTTTTATTTAGGACTGTTGAAAACAAACACCATTGGGAGTAAATTTTTTAATAGTCATTAGCCTTCATGATTTGTAAAATATAAAATTTTTAATTATTACAGCCAAATAATTCTCAATGGCCAATTGTGAAATGTACTTTTTGTAGTGTGAATTTGGACTACAAGTTTATATTGCGGAAATGAAATATGTTTGGTTGAGAATTTGTTTGTAATGTGAATTTGTTCATATTGTTACGGAAATTATAATATTTTCTACCAAAACAATGTTTTTAAGGGATCTTGAAAAACCATTTTCACATAAGTTTCTGTTGTGAAGATGAATTGTTTAGTTTAGAACGATTTTATAAAAAAACATTGATGCAAAAATGAGTAAAGTCTAAAAATGCCTTTAATATAGGAGACCATTTTCCGATCAAATAGTATATTTGAGTAATATGTGAAATTCTAGATATTTTTTTTCTTTTTGATAAATCATCCATGATAATGACTATTTTAGTAATACGTGTTGTTTAAAACCTACCATTTTGACTGTGTATAACAAGTTACTGTTTTTTTTTCTTGTACATAGTTTACCGTTAAATATTTTTGTATACGACTTGCCATTAAATTATGTCACGGTCATCTTCACGGGCCAACGCCATCCACTCGCACCATCACCGTGCACCATCCACCTTCGACAACAAACACTACCTTCTACAACCACTATTCACCGCCACAACCAACCATCTCCATCATTTACCACCACCACAACCACACATCTCTATCATTCACCACCAACACAATCAAGAAACTAATCTAAAATTAACTTTACCGTGCAGCAAAATTGATTCAAACCTAAAAATCAATTCACCAATCAACTCAAAATCAAATTCCAATAATAAAATTGCATATTTGAACATATATGGTTACTAGTGACACACGATTGAAGAAAGGAACGAGAGCAGTGGCAGATCCAAGAATTTTCATTGTGGGGGACACTAACGGTTAACAATAAAAACGGGTCGGGCCAATATAATTTTTTGTTACACAAAAACTGAACTTCCATACGAACCAATTAGTGACAGATCAGAAAGAAAAACCGTACGAGTCCATCATATATAAAAGATTAAACAGAAATAAAAGCATTAACAAAATTCTGAAAATA